GATAAATTTTTTTAAAAAAAATTTGCCTACATTTGAAAATCAAGACATTTTAGATAAATACCTATTTTTCTGACTTTCCATTAAAACATGGAAAGACTCATCAACATTGGGCCTTCATTTCTTCATGGCACCAATGAGGGGTGGCTGCCCCCTTCCGATTGGCACACACTGTCTGGTTGCTGCACTCCTCACTGATCCCTATTGTCTCCTCGACACCCACTGTTTTTGCCATTTCATCCGTGCGGTTGGTTCCGTCACAGACATCGGAGGTTCCACGCAGCTACTTACCTGCTGTAAAGCACCCCACATGTAGGAGAGGGGCTGACCAATGTACCCCACTTATTTACTTCTGCTTTTGATATGTGTGTGAGCGAGGCAGCCTGGGTAAGGTTTTAAGCATTGCTCATGGTCTCATTTTTCTCCTCTACAAATTGAGTTTGTTTTTTCTCCTTGCAAAGCGTTTTCAAGGATAATTTGGCTTATAACCTGCCTAAGCTGGAGAAAGACGGTTTTGTTTGTTTGTTTGTTTGTTTTCATCTCATAATTCAGTTTCTTTGTGGCAGAAACTGTGGTTTGGCCAGAGGTTTCCTCCCCCAGCAGAACTGGAAGGCTTGTCAGGAGCATCACGCCAGGTTTCAGATGGTTTATTTTCCTTTAGTGGTGTTATAAGGTCTACATAAATCCACAGTGGGTAGCCTGTCGCTTTCATGATGGATTGAAATAATATTTTTAGCAGTGTGAGGTGAGATTGGAGGGCCTTTTTTTTTTTAATGACTATTCATTCTACTTATAATGCTTATAATTCAATGATTGAGTCTCTGAAAAAAAGAAACCCCTCAGACAATTCATAATTCCAGGTTTTAAAAAGAAACTCACCACAGTGGGCTGATGTTCAGCAGGAAGGCACTGGTACAGCCATGCCAGCTGTTTACCCTGGCATCTGTTCTAATTGGTCAGTGCTCAGGCTGATTCACTAGCTACATCTTTTGAACATATCAACCCTGAAATTAATACATAGGCATGGAAAAAATGCTAGTCTTCAATCGTGTCTTTACCTTTGGACTAGTTTATGAGGCAGCAGGTGTAGCAACTTGGTGTAGCACAGCTCTATGCCACCTGGTGGTATCAATTCTCTTATGTAAATACCAATATAATTATCTAATTCAGAAGAGTCTTTATCTCTTACGGGGCATCCAAGGTTCAGCTCCCCGGAACATGAAAAGGCAGCTCAGCCTGTTTTCTCATTAGTGAAATGCATAAGCAGGTGGAACTTGGCTCTGACTAAATTAGTTGAGGCCTCATTATTCCTACACCTCCCAGATAATCATACCACTGACTGATGAGCTCAACCAAGATGTAGTCTGAAGTGAGCACAGTCTGTCTCATTTAGCCACGAAAAGAAACAGAAACTCTATTTTTAGTAGTGGCTATTCTTCATTTGACGATGCATAACAATGGGCTAGCAGACTTTATCCTTTTTCTTTTTAAGCCTAGTTGGAGAATTAAAGTATTTATTCCATGTCTCTTTTTCATATCCTGCAATCATCCTTAAAAAATATTAGCTTTTACCACAGAACTAATACATAATTATTACAGAAAAATTAAATAGGTAAAGTAAAATACAGATAATCAAATCCCCAAATCCCACCTCAAGGAAAACACAGTAGCATTTTGAAATGGATTAGTCTAGTTATCTCTTTGTTTCTATCTTCCTCTTTATATTTTTGACAGCTTTAAAAGTTGGAGTTCTTTCTTTTTAAATTATGAACTTAAAAATAAAAAATCTTGGAGGAAAATTTTTTCAAATTGTTTTACACATTCTTCTGCTGTCTTAGAGATTGTTAAACACGACTCAAGTTGTCACTCTGACCACTGGTTATTGTCATGAGTCATTTTCATGGGAGTCTCTTTAAGTTATAACTTTTGCTACTTGTGTACCTGCTTCATGTGAATAAAAAGTCACCAAATTCTCCATGGACTTGAATCTCTCATGTGGTATAAAAAGCATGGACTTTATTTAATAAGTTTCTGGGTTTTTAAATATTTATTTCTCATTTTTAACTATGTCTTAGAGTTGAGATTTCATAAAATGCGACCTCTGAATTAGAGAGATTTTAGTATATTTTGAAATTAATAGAATTAATTCCCTTTTCATCTTTCTGCATGTGGTTACCCAGAAATAAAAACCATTTGATTTGTGGAATTTATGGAACTGAAATAAATTTTAAAAGGAGATTTATAATTTAGCTAAGGAGTCACCTTTATTAGCTGGTGTTAATCAGGTGACTATGTTAATGAGGATGGGTGGGGGTCTTGCTGAGGTAATCAAAAATCCTCTCTAAATCTTAGTTGCTTAACACATAAGCATTTTATTTCTTGTTTATGCAAAGTATACTTCTGGTCTGATGACTCCCTGAGGTAGATTTCTTCGAAGTGGTGACTCAGGGATCTTGTCATGTATCATCTAGGACATGAAGTTATCAGGGTCAACACAGCAGAGGAAGAGATATCACAAAGAGCTCACACCCCCTCACAAATGCCTCCACATTAAAAGACTTCAGTCCCGGAGTAGCACATGTCACTGCCACACACAGCCCATTGACCAGTAACTACCAGGGAGCTGATGCCCTTCCTGTATGCCCACAAAGGAGCGAGGACCAGATATGGAGGAGTACTGCCAGTCTCCATCACAGTGACCTTGGGCAAGTAACTTCACTTTGTCTCTGTGACAGAGGGGTCAACCTAGGTGACGTTAGAACAATCCTTGCCTCTTCTCACAGTCTCTGACTCTCAGTATTTGATTTCTTCTTACTATGAGGGTTGTGTTTTTTACTACATTGTAGGCATTATTTTATTGTTATTGTAAGACTATCAGGTATATTCATGCTAGTAAAGGGCAGATGCTGTGATGCGTAGTGTAGCCGATGGTTCAGTGAGAGGCTTCTGAAGGCACATGATCTGGTTTTGAATCCAGCTTGGTCTCCTACTGGCAGTATGATCTTCGGTTCTTCGTTTTACTTCTCTCTGACTCACTTTTCTTGTTTGCTTTCTTTCTTTATTGATTAAGGTATTACATATGTGTCCTCCTCCCCCTGCTCATGCCCTCACCTCCCTGGTGTCTGTGTCCATTGGTTAGGCTTATATGCATGCATACAAGTCCTTTGGTTGATCTCGCCCTCTTACCCCCACCCTCCCCTACCTTCCCTCTAAGGTTTGACGGTCTGATGGATGCTTCTCTGTCATGTTTGCTTTTTAACTTAAAGGTAAAATGGGGATAGGAATAGTATCATCCTTAAATATCAAATTAGTGCAATTCATATAATGTTATCATAACAATGTCTGGAAGACACTAAAGAGTTCTATAAGTTTATTTGATTTTATTTTTTATTATTTTTAAAAAGATGGCTATCCTTTTTGCCCTGGCTTGATACGTGTCTGCACAGTAATAGCTCAATAAGTTGTTGTCTTTCATGTCTTGGTGTGATTAGCTAGCCCAACCCATGCGAGTCTCTTTAATCTACTGACACATTAAATGGAGTCACAAACAGTACCTGTGGGTGATTTGGGTCTTTGCCCAAGACCACCAACTCCTTTGTTCTGTGCCTCATCTGCTTTAGCCTAGATTCCATCCCTGCCTGACTTTGTCTTGGCTCCATATTCGAGTTGGATCCTGCCTTTGGCTCCTGCAAGCTTGGGATTCCTGCATGGTTTCCACCCAACATTGAGCTCTAGCTTCATTTAGCTCATGGACTTCCTAGGCTGGCCCTTCGATTCCTGGAGAATGCACCAACCTTGGATGATAACTCCATACTTTAACCTCAGTCCCTCAAGACCCCAAACCTGCTCAGCTTTTGGTTCACACCGAGGCTCAGTCCTGGCCTTCACACAGGGTACATTGGCTGTACCCTCTGAGTGTGGGCATTTCAGATGCCACCTAACCCTTATCATCATCCCAAATCAATGACATGCCCAGGATGTTAAGTGTTATCTCTTCAGGTGGCTACATATGAGCAAGAATGTTTTTCTTTTCCGCCTGCATCTTAAGTGGATTGTCCTTGGGGACGAGTTGAACATATTGCAGCTGCAGAGAAGGTGAGAAATGCATGCATTTGCTCTCCAGCATGGGGATGGCCTGGTCCTCTTCCCCTTTTGCTTTTTAGCTGGTCTAGTGAGGGATCCTCTGTGAATGGTTGCAAGTCACTTGCTCCCGGCACGGAAAAGAACAGTTCTCACCAAGCACTGTTCTTCCTCAGGCTTGGCCCTGCCCAGTATAAGAAAGACAAATACTTTCATGTCAGGCTCCACTGAGGTCATCCTGTCCCCCACTGGCCAGAGAGAACCTCCAGTCAGGCTGGACTGTGATGCAAGCGTGTTGCTTTCTGCTTCTCTTAGTCCTTTCTTTTCCAAGTTCTATCAATGGACAGGGTGGTACTTTTCCCACAGTGCACAGTGCAGGTGGGAGACGCTAAGCCTCTGAGATTTCTGCAGAGGGGAAGAATCACATCACACAGTATTGTCACCCTGTCCCTGAAATAATGATAAATGAAGCTGCAGCCTGCTTTCCCCCAATCTGCCTTCGTGATCTTGTATGGCAAACAGGTCAAATTTGTCACTGCCAAATGCAATAAATTCTTGTCTATGGTTTTGGAAAAAGATAAATCATCAGAGAGTAATCTCCAAACACTCTGCAAAGGTTCTGTAGCCCCACACTGGGTATCTAACAGTAGAGAATTAAGGAAGTTGTGCAAATCCAAATTTTTTAATCCTCACCTGAGGATGTGTTTTTATTGATGAGAGAGAAAGAGAGAGAGAGAGGTGAGAGAAATAGATCAATTGCCTTCTGTACATGCCCCAAGTAGGGATTGAACCCTGCAACCTAGGTATGTGCCCTGATCAGGAATGGAACCCACAACATTTCGTGTACTGGATGATGCTCCAGCCAACTGAGCCACACTGGCCAGGGTTGTTAGTCTGCCCCCCCCCCCGCCCCCGCCCTTATTTTTTGCATTGAGGAAAATGAAGGTCACTGAGGAAAAAAGCCTCAATCTTCAGATTCCAAGTTCCAGGCCTTCCCATAGCCTCAACGTCTCTCTTTATCAGTTTGCCATTGTGTTGGAGGTAGGACTGGGATAAATTTCGGGAGAGAAACTGTAGCCCTTGAATTGTTGATCTCTCCTGTCCTCGGAGGGAAGCAGAACATCAGGATTGCTGGGGACCTGGACTTTGTGAGTCCCCAGGGGGAGAAGAGCCCTGGTGTGCTCCTCTGTCCTGCGCATCTTCCTGCCCAGCCCGGCCCAGCCTGGCCACTGTGGAGCTGAGCCCGCCCTTCACTTGGGCTCCCCCCTGCAGCGAAGCACGGTGCCAGTCACACCCCCGGCTCGGCATAGCACAGGTGCAGAAGGTGGGTAACAAGAAACTCTCTCCAGCTTGGAACAGAAGGGACTCCCTTCTTTCATCTGTTGTTTACTTGTGGTTTGAGGTCAAGATTCAACTGAGGCCGATGAAGAGATGATTCTGTACATAGTCAACTGATGACGGGACTGCTTTGGGGTTCCCAGGAATTTTCCAGGAGGCGGTAAGGTATCGCCAGGGTAGCCCTTTTTGGACCTAATGAAAATCTATTGTGCCAGACTGCTCGTCACTTAGCTTTACAGATGTTCCCAGAGGCAGCGAGGCACACACAGTGCCCAGCCACTGGAAAGCAAACCCTCCCCAAAGGGAGGTCCGCTGCCCACTTTGCCGAGGGGTAGCTTGGATGCGTTCTTAGCTGGAGATAACAGAATCCACTCCAACTGGCTTAAGGAGAAAGGGGTTTATCAGTGGACAGAGATAACGTGCAGACCCGTTGTGAAGGCCAAAGACAGGGAATCGAGGTTGAGCTTCTAGGAACAACTGCCCAATGTGAACTGGGGAACGGAGCTGCTAGGGGCGGGCTGCCTTGTCACGGTCATGGACGAAGGAAGCAGCTGCGGCATCCAGAAGCAGCCACCACGCTGCCAGCAGAGTCCCCCGGCCGTGATCCAAACCAGTCACCTCCACGTCCCAGGCCCTGCCTCTCTTCCCAGTGGCTCAGTTCTGAGTGGAAGTCTCACACTAGGGCTTCTGAAAGGAAGAACCTCAAAGACGTCTGGGACTGTCGGCACATGGGGGGCCGCCTGTGCACCCTCGCTGGGTTTAAAAAGAGTGGAGAGTGAAGCTCTCAACAATACTTTCCACAGTGCTTTTAACCCACTCTCTCCCGTCCACTGGCATATTCAAGAACAAAGCTTTTTTTCCGTCCATCTGTCCTTCCATCTGTCCATCATCTATCCACCTATATATCCATCCATCAATCAGAGTTTTGCACTTTGGGTATTTTATTTTTATGAGTTTCAGAATGTATTGAAAAGATAAGGATTTTTTTTAAAAAGTCTAATAAAATATCATTATTACACTAATATTTAAAGCAGTAACCCGTAAATATCATCAAATATCTAGTTGATGTTCAAATTTTCCCAGTTGTCTCATAATTTTAAAAACAGTTTGTTTGAATCAAGTTCCAGATAATGATGGTTTAGTGCTTACAACATGCAGTTGATTTATGTCTCTTCAGCTTCTTTTTTTTTTTTTTTAATATATTTTATTGATTTTTTACAGAGAGGAAGGGAGAGAGACAGAGAGTTAGAAACATCGATGAGAGAGAAACATCAATCAGCTGCCTCCTGCACATCTCCTACTGGGGATGTGCCCGCAACCCAGGAACATACCCCTGACCGGAATTGAACCTGGGACCTTTCAGTCCACAGGCCGACGCTCTATCCACTGAGCCAAACCGGTTTCGGCACTTCAGCTTCTTTTAATCTATAGCTTCCTGGCCCCTCTTCCCCCTCTGCCTTGTTCTCCCCTCCCATCTTTCTCCTCCTCCTGTTTTCCTTCTCTCTCTCTCCCCCCTCGCCCCCCTGCCCTCCCCCTTCTCCACTTTTTGCTCTTTCTCTCCCTCTCCACTTCCAATATATTTGTTAAAGGACCTGGGTCACTTGTCTTAGAGAGTCTCTCACAGTCTGGGTTTTGCTTCCTGTGTCTCCGCATTATCCTCTGACGTATTCCCCCGTATTTTGTATTTCCTATAAAGAGGCACTTACAGCTAGAGGCTGATTTTATTTGGGTTTAATTGGAATACTTGGGAGGTTTGTGTGCACCACTCAGAGGCTTGCGATACCTGCTTGTCTCTCTTTTGGTGACATAAGCAGCCAGCCGTGGATGATCATTGCCTAGATCCTGCATTTCATTAGGGGCTTGCAAAGTGTTTAGAGTCTAAGTCCTTCATTCCTGCCTCATTTATTAGCTGGAATAAATGAGGGACGGACCAAACTCGGCCAGGAATGAAGTGGCCTGTGTCATCTTCCAAGTGCTTCCTGGACAACTTTGGTTTACTTGGCAAAGCAGAGGGCTTTGGCCTCCTTCTCGCTCTTTTTGTCTCTGTGGGCCACTGTTTAACTTCACGCTGTTAGATGGTATATATCAGTGGTCGGCAAACTCATTAGTCAACAGAGCCAAATATCAGTACAATGATTGAAATTTCTTTTGAGAGCCAAATTTTTAAAACTTAAACTATATAGGTAGGTACATTGTTATTAACTTAATGAGGGTACTGGCTCACTCAATTCGTGTATGAATCGTGTGCGCCTCCCAGCGCTGCATATCCAGCGGCCCCTGCACCTTGTCTCCTGTCACCCAACCGACCAACACCCCTCACTTCGTCTAACGCCACTTCTTCAAAATAGACTAGCCCAGGCCGAAAACCGACTTTTATGCATGGGCCACAAAGTTTCAACCACACTGTACGTGCGCGCCCACACGTGGTATTTTGTGAAAGAGCCACACGCAAGGGGCCAAAGAGCCGCATGTGGCTCGCGAGCCTCGGTTTGCCGACCACTGGTATATATTCTCCAAGAGGAGGTAAACATTTTATTTTCCCTTTACAAAAGTGCTACATGGCTATTACAGAAAATACCAAGAGCCAAAAGGTGCGGGGGGGGAGGGGGGGGGAACCAAACCCATCCATAATCTTAACATCATATAATTACTACTTAACATTTTGCTGTACTTTCTTTTAGTCTTTTTGACCATACCTATATAAATAATGTCTACTTGACACAAATGGGATTTAATGTTTATAAACTTAAAATCATCTAATATTATTAGTAATTTTTCATGTCATTGTTTTTTCTCCAATATAATTTTTAAATTTAAATCTTTATTGTTGAAACTATGATGGATGTCCCCCCTTTCCCCCCATTGACCCCTTCTAGCCTGCCCCTCTCCCCCACCCCCACCCCAGGCCTTCCTTCATCACCCTACTGTCTGTGTCCATGGGTTATGCATATATGCGTACAAGTTCTTTGGTTGATCTCTTTCCATTCACCTACCCTCCCCTGCTTTCCTTCAATATAATTTTTAATGATTGCACAGCATTCTTACTCTGTTGTCTATAATTATTCACATTCTTAGTTAATCTAGAATTTTGCGTTCTTTTTACAGATGAAAATCTAAAAATGCTTTTCTGTTCTGAAATCAGTGTAAATATTGCCCAGTGGGACCCATAGCCCACTCTAATCCACCCTAATGTGGTTGAGTGACCAATGGTAAATAAAGCAGGTGCTTTTTCCCCCTCCCTCCCTCCCTCCCTCCCTCCCTCCCTCCTTCCTTCCTTCCTTCCTTCCTTCCTTCCTTCCTTCCTTCCTTCCTTCCTTCCTTCCTTCCTTCCTTCCTTCCTTCCTTCCTTCCTTCCTGTTCCAGCATGTACACATTGCATAGAACTGACCTTCAGCCCTGCAGGACTTCTGCAACTCTACCTCAGTGTTAGGCTGCCCCAGGAGAGAGTGTGTGTAAGCCTTTTGTTATCAATACACTTTAATCTTATCCTTGTACCCAGCCCACAAAGTTACGATAATGAGAACTTGAACTCTTTGGGACGTCACTGTGAAAGATCTTTCCTCTGTAGGCATCAGAAAGTGCTGAGAAGTCTTAGCTGAGCAACGTGCAACGGGGAGGAAACAAGAATTTGGACCACCATTTGCTTTCCTGGATGCAAGAAGTCTTTTGAGGGGTTGAATAAGGTAAGAATGACTCTATTTTCTTGGAGAGGGAGGGATGGATCTTGAGTCATCCATTGCCTCAGAGATCTTGATGAAACCCCAAACCTCCACCCTGTTTTCTTAGCTTTGGAAACCCATTTTGCCATATCATTACTTTTTTCTTTCACAGTCTTGAGCAATAGGCACCTCAGCATGGCAAAGATGTGACAAGTGGCTTGCTGTTGTCTCATTAGAGCCTCATCACTGACCTTCTAGGACAGTGGTTCTCAACCTTCCTAATGCCTAGACCCTTTAATGCAGTTCCTCATGTTGTGGTGACCCCCAACCATAACATTATTTTCGTTGCTACTTCATAACTGTAATTTTGCTACTGTTATGAATCATAATGTAAATATCTGATATGCGGGATGTATTTTCATTGTTACAAATTGAACATAATTAAAGCATAGTGATTAATCACAAAAACAATATGTAATTATATATGTCTTTTCCGATGGTCTTAGGCGACCCCTCTGAAAGGGTCGTTCGACCCCCAAAGGGGTCGCGACCCACAGGTTGAGAAACACTGTTCTAGGATTATGCTAGGTTAAGTGGGAACCATAAGGAAATGTATATTCCTTTAAAATGTAATTCTTGGTCCATTTGCCTTCTGAAGCAGACAAGACATTTGCTTTAATGTTTGAAAGCAGATTTTAATCATTATGAGAAATAAATAGCACTAATGGCTTCAAAAAGAATTGTGATATGTTGGCAGTAATTCTGGCAACAAAGTAAGAGCGGTGAAACACATCACTGAAATCTGAGTAAGAGGTGGAAACTCTGATGTTAAATCAAGTGCTGCTGTTGACTTGTGCAAAAGGCCGGTAGTGGTGATCAGTCACCAGAGAAAAACTAGCCAAAAAAAAGTATGATTTTGTTGTTTGTTACACAGGCTCCTGCCACATGACTACATTTTTTACATATATAATGTGCCTACAGATGATCCGGGGTTGGGAGGTCTACTTGTCCGTCATCCATTTATTCATTGCCCTTTTTGTACAGAAGTTGTCTCAGCTAACAGAAAGGCTTACAGAAACCAAAGTTTAGAGCAAGAACTAGGTGTACTGGGTTTGAAGTTTGCTACTGAAACAATAGCTAATGACTAATAAACTTCTTTGGATCATCAGTTTCAGAGGCATATCTTAGATGTGCTTCCTGACTTCTGGGGGCTGTCAGTGAAACCTGGGACCCAGATGCAGAACTAATTTGTTCTGCCCTAAATTTAAAGTTGTTCCTACTGCTGATCTTGATGGTGGTCACGGTGCCATATGGATGAAGGAAAGTCTACCAATAACCAGGAAGTTTAGGAAGACGTTTCAGTCTCCTTGTCCATTCCCAGTTCAGCCCTTCCTCTGAAGTGTTTGCTGGGTGACTGATTTTTAACCTATAGTCCAGGGGTTGCAAAATAAAATGACTACAAAGACCAGGTAGTAACTTAGATATACAAGACCCATGGGGTAGGGGCTATAGCAAGTTGGAGAAGGCATGCACCATCTAAAAAGAACAGCACCTACCAAGTTTTGAAACTTTTGGCAAATGGGAATGCTGGCTCAGTGTTGCCACATTTTAGAAAGTATTTTGAAAGAAATTTGAGGTTTCAGATTTGTAAATGTGGACTCTATAGAAAAATTGTGAGACTTAATCTTTTATCTTGTCAATTAAGTCAAATTGAAACAAAAAAAATTGTCTGGGCTGTACTACACACAATTGTTTGTTGCCAATTTACAACTCCTGGGGGTGGCAGCATCTTAGCCACCATTGGGGCGGAGGCAAGACGTGGGATTCCAATCCCATCTCACTGCTCAGGCTTCCTAAAGCAAGTCCCTTCCTGTGATTCCAATAATCCTCTAATGGTAGTCTCATATGAACGCCCTTCAAGGACCATGAAGAACACATAGTCTTTGCCAATTTGGAACCCAGTGATAAATGTCAACATTTTGAGCACTTATTACATTCCATGGAACCAACAAATTATTACTTGCATTATCTCCTCTTATTTTTATGGGAACTCTACGAGATAGATACTAAAATGATTACCATCATATTCCTATTTACAGATGGAGAAGCTGAGGCTCATTGTCTGGGATTTCCCAAGTTCAGTTGCAGTAAGTGGCAGAAATGAGATTTGAATTCTGGAGTCAGACTTCAGAATCCAATTTTTAATGACCATTATTATACTTTCTCCTGTTATACGACTTTTCAGCTTGTATAGTCCCTCCGCATAATGATGAATTCTCCTCCTAAAATATCCTGAGGAATTTGTAAGGACATTTTCTGCTTTTGTAGAACACAGGGACATTTGTATTTTTATCCTCTTCATTTGCTACAAGGTTTGCAAAATGTGTGAAATGCTTATCACAGAAGAGGAAAATGTTATTAACACCTGGCTTGAGACCAGAGATGCCAACCCCCCTTTCCAGGCCATTTTCTTCTCAGGTAGTATTTAAAGTTAGAACATGAGGTGTAGAGGCCTACGGTATGGATTTCACCTCCACGTGGACAAGATAATTTTATTTAGTCTATGATCACAGAGGAAAGCCCCCACCTCAGCAAGCCTCCTCCCAAGTACAAACAATGTGGGTGGGTACGTCATCCCCGAGGACAGAAGTGCTCCAACCTAGACCCATAAACAGCATCCTCACCCTGGAGGAAAGCAGCCGTGATGTAGCCGAGGAACGCAAATAGGTTTTCACTTAGCTGCCCGTGCCAAATGATGAGCGGTGGATGCCAGGATGAGTGCTGTGCTGAGAAAGATTGGGAAACGCCATCTGAACTTATCAAAGAGTGCCCTAATTGACTGGTCTTGTCTGCTATGGGCTTGGGATGTGGAACTAGTGGTGAATGTGCTCTATACTTGCCTGGTATAGTCTGTTCATATGAAAGAGCTAAGACGTCTTAGGCAGATGGAAGCACATGCGTTTTAATTTGTGATTCTGTCTTTTTCTGTCTCTTCCTTACTTCTTCTTCCATCTCTGCTTCTTTCTTAGGAAAAATGGCCAAACGTACCTTCTCCACATTAGAGACGTTCCTGATTTTCCTCCTCATAATGATGACTGCTATCACGGTAGCCCTTCTCAGCCTCTTGTTTATCACCAGTGGGACCATCGAAAATCCCAAAGGCAAGTGTCATGGGCTCTCTTGGATGCTGCTCCTTGGCCTGCAGGAAATTCCTCGATTACTGTGGACACGAAGGCAGGAAACAGTGTCTGTTGATAATGCTGATAGTGGAGGCGAAAGAAGAAAGATCCACTAAGTATCAATTAGTCTTTTAAAAGCCTTGAAGGCGGGAGTGTTGAATTCACATCCTTAGGGGGGCCAATGAAGCTCTGTAAATGAGCTCGAGTGGGGAGGGGTCCAGGATGAGGCAGCTGCAATTTTGGTGAAGAGGGTCCCCAGCCCCTCCTGAGTGTCAGCTGACTGTTGTTATGATAAACACAGACTCAATTCTCCTGAGTTTCAAGAGAAGCTAGAAATTTGGGTGTTTAGACATAGCTTGATTTCTTCTTCAGCACTACAGATGAATTTAGTTTTTAAAAACTGTCTAGGCTCTTTTTATAGGCAGTAATGGGCCCATGGGTCTTTATAAAGTAACCTCTCGTCTAGGTTATATTATACCTGTTAAGTGAGTAGAGAAGACAGTGGGGTTTGAATGCTCTGACCAAGGAAAAGGGAGGGCTGGACTCAGGCCAACTGGAGAAGGAGGTGCATGTCTGAACCACGGTTTTCTCCTCAGTGGCCTTTTCTCTTTTCTAGTGTATTCTCCACCATGTCCCCGTGCTTTGAATTTCCTGCAAACACAGAGGACCAGAAATCCTCCGTGCCAGGAGTGGGCAGAGCAGGGTCCTGGACTGCTAATATGAAAGGCTCTGTAGGGCTTATTTAGTTTTAGCTCTTAAAATGAGACTCAGGGAGCCCTGGCCAGTATTGCTCAGTGGTTAGAGGGTGGGCCCACAGACTGAAGGGTCCAAAGTTCAATTCCAAGTCAAGGGCACGTACCTGGGTTGCAGGTTCCATCTCTGGCCCTGGTCAGGGTATGAGCAGAAGACAACCAATAGATGTGTCTCTCTCACGTAGATCTCTCTCCCCTCCCTTCCCCCTCCCTACCCCCTCCCTACCCCCTCCCTTCCTCTCACCCTCTCTATAAATCAATGGGAGAAATATCCTTGGGTGAGGATTAACAAGAGAGAGAGAGAGAGAGAGAGAGAGAGAGAGAGAGAGAGAGAGAGAGAGAGAGAGAGAGAGACTGACTGACTCAGGGAGGTTGTCTATAATTACGGCAACTATTTCCATAGTGGAATTTGCTGTTTATTGAAGGGTTACTTTGTGGCAAGCACTGTAATCAGGAGCCTACATCAATTTCTTATTTAATTCTAATAAGGTTCCTATGAAGGTTGATGCCAGTCTTAGTACCATTTTATAGATGTGAAAGCTGAGACACTGCTCTATATTTTTAATATGCAGTAACATATTTATTGTTCAAAACAACCCTTGGAAGTAGGGTATTATTATTATTATCTCTATTTTATAGATGAGAAAAATTGGGGTGAATAGCTTAAGTAATTTGTTCAGCCAGTAATTGGTAAAATCAGTTTTCCAATCCAGATTTCTGGCATCTGTCCTTTTATTCTCAATGCTATTCTGCCTCCCTGATATTTGTATGTATATGTGATATACATATTGATAAGAAATGTAGTGTGTCCTTATGCATATATGGTGACATGGGAATCATTAGCACAAGATAGAACTACGTCAACAAGTATACAACGATCTAGGTTGCATTAAGAATAAGTCTTTAGCCCTGACCGTTGTGGCTCAGTGGGTTGGGCATTGTACCATGCACGGAAAAAGGTTGCTGGTTGGATGCCCAGCAACATTGTGGGCTCAATCCCTGGTAGGGGGTGTGCAGGAGGCAGCTGATCGATGTTTCACTCTTACGTTGATGTTTCTCTCTCCCTCTCCCTTCTTCTCTCCCTAAAAATATATATGAATAAGTCTTTAAAAAAAGAATAAAAGTCTTGAGAAGGCTGAGGAAGATCAAAGCAGGGTAGAGACAGCTGGGGTGGCACCCTGGAGATGAGGGTTTGAGCTGGATGTGAGTGTGATGGAAATGAATCAACTCTGAAGGTGGTAGTGGAGATTGGTTGGTGGAGTAGAAAGGAATACGGACTCTGGATGGAGAGAATGGCAAGAACGAATCCCAAGAGGCTGCATTTAGTAGGTTGTGTGTCAGGAACCTGGCACATGATTTGTTTGGCTGGTGTGGAAGTGCATGGTAAGTGAATGAAGGGTGATGAGTTTGCAAGGAATGGCTTGTGAGGAGAAGCTGAAGGAGGTTTGATGGAGACCTTGATTGTTTAGTTGGAACATGTGCAGTAAAGAAAAAGATCATCCTTAGGAATGATATAAAACAAGTTCCTGAGATGTTTTCCACCGTGTATCATACACATAAACAATATACAAAGATTTTTTTCCACCTGAATTAGGTGTTCTAACTAATGCTGACACGTAAGTGATCTGAATTCTGGTTTCTTAAATATCTTACTCTATTTTTATTTTTTGACATTTTATATATTACTTATTTAATTGAGTTTATTGGGTGACATTGGTTAATAAAATTATGTAGGTTTCAGCTATAGAATTCTACAGTACATCATCTGTACTGTGTGTTTACCGCCCCAGTTCAAGCCTCAAATATTTTATTCTATTTTTTGGATTCAGGTTTTCCATCCACTGAGAGCCCTCAGGCCACCCAGAGCCCCACAGCCACCCAGGGCTCCACAGCCCCTCAGCGCTCCACACTCACACAAGGTCCCACAACCACCCAGGTGGACCCAGTGACTACCACCCCAGAGCCTCCTCTATTTCAGAACTTCAGTGGCTACCACATAGGTGTTGGGCGAGCTGACTGCACAGGACAAGTAGCAGATATCAATATGGTAGGTAAATCATGGGCTCCTCAAAGAGACTGTGAAATAAAATTTTATTATTTTGAATCCTGCATTTATTCCTGATTATTATAGCATCGTCTTGCTTTCCTATTGACTTCATAGCTGTGTAAGACTATGAGTATTGTCCTATAAGGAAGAAAGGATCATTTATTTAACCACAACTCCCTTGGAAAGACAGTTGGCCACTTTTTATGAAATGGCAGGACTAGGAAACTCAAATATGACAGAGGATGGGCAGGTACTGTAAATGACTGAAGTAGGTCAGTGTAAGATGTTCAACATCTAGTGATCCTCAGTTTTGGGACAGTAGGAAGTTGTGGGCATGGTGGTGCATCTAGAAAGTGCACGGCCCCAACTAATTGTTGCTATGTAAGCATGTGGACTTAGGGTTGCTATATCTGACAGTTTTTTCAAGAGAAGCCAGAAACATCTCTGGACTGAAGATCTGAGGGTGTAAGTATCTCACTTGGAAAATGTAGGCAACTCTAGTTAGTTAAAACTGGAAAACTGGCATGGGCCAACAGTGCGTTAGCCAAGTAAAACCCTTCAATGTGTTAGGTGTGGTCTGTTGGCTGTTAGCATGCAACTTCTTTGCTCTGATGGTGGTAACACTGTTTATATCAACACTTCCCTAGGAAACCAGAGCTTGAGGTTGTCTGATGGGATTGTCTCCTGTCTACCAAATAATCTTTAGCTTCAAGGAATTACAGTTGACCCTTGAACAATGAGGGGGTTAGGCACACCAACCCCCACACAGTGGAAATTCATGTATAACTTTTGACTCCCCCAAAACTTAACTGCAGTTGGCCCTTTGTAGCCACAGATTCAACAAAATGCAAATCAAAACATTATTTTTGGTCCACAGTTGGGAATGTAAAAATACTATTTTAAATCCCTGGTTGGTTGAATCCAAGGATGTGAAACCTGTGGATCTGAAGGGCTGACTGTATTTATTAAAAAAAAGTCATACATAAGTGGATGTGCACAGTTTAAACCTGTGTTGTTGAAGGGTCAACTGTATTCCTTGCTGTCTATTCTGAAAACTGACTCTTGAATCATTGTAACCCTAAATTAACACCCACATGAGGGCAAAGCAAGCAGTAGAAGGAGCATTCTGAAGACTTGGGTAGACTTTAAGGGTGGGTTTTATGACATGGTAAGAGAAGGGGCAGGGATAGGCGTATTTGATCTGACTTGGCTTAGGGAGGGACAACATGGGAGAAGCCAGGGTTAGGTACTTAACCATAAAGTTAAGGTTAGATTACTTAACCATAAAGAAACCATTTTCTTCAGGTAAAAAAAAACCAAAACAAAACATACACATTGGCAACTCAAGTGAGGGAGCCTTCAATTTCAGGATGTTCCCCCTCGGTGTGCATGGTGGGAGGGGAACTATTTCCTTGCATAGTACCTTGGACTGGCAGGAGAAAAGGTTTTATTTCAAAAACCAGAGTATCCCTGAAAGCTCTCCAGGACAGTAACACAATTCTGGGCCACACCAGCTCCTCCCTCACCTATAGGGCAATGAATAGCTTCTGTCAAGCTTTTGCTACTTTGCCTTTACTTATTTCTACACAGAAGAGTAAAGACTCTTTTATGATGTTGGCTTTATTATTGAAAACACATACATTATTTCACTCAGAGCTTTCAGTGACCTGTGGACTGTTTTTATTTGTCTTTCTTAAGTGAGCCTGCTTTCTGGTGGGGTGGGGGTGGGGGGAGCGAGATGAGATAGAGCGCCTATGATTCTCTCTCCCCTTTAGGTGGGCTCTGATGGTCTCTCCCCCTTTAGATGGGCTCTGATTGTCTCTTCCCCTTTAGATGGGCTACGGCAAAGGTGGCCAGAATGCACGGGGCCTCCTCACCAGGTTGTACAGTCGTGCTTTCATCATGGCAGAGCCAGATGGGTCCAATCGAATGGCATTTGTGAGCATCGACATAGGCATGGTATCCCAACGATTGAGGCTGGAGGTAAGTGATTGATGTGAGGAAGAAATGACTTGATGTTAAAAAAAAGTCAGTAGCTAAGCCCTCCTTGTTTTTCATCCAGTGAGTTTCTACCACCTGCAACTTTATAGGCTCTTGACAATCCAGCAGACAGAGTGATCCGAATTTTTCCATTCTGAATCATCTTGGTCAAGATTTCCTTTCAATTCTGCTGGTGGTGCATCATCATTATTGATTGCTAATGTTATTTGAAAGTTTATTACTTTCCAGGGGACCTTCACATACATTATTTCATTTAATCTTCTTTGATAGAAGTCTGAGAGTGTCAATTAATCCGTAACCCTTCCTTCAAGTTTTTAGACAACTGAGAATGGATGTAAGTAACCTGATGAGAATTAAAAATACAACACTGAAATGAGGTTGGCCATAGATTGCTGAAGCTGGGTGATAGGCAGACATGGGGATTTTATTATATTACTAGTAGCCCTGCACACGAATCCATGTGCCAGCAGCTCTCTGTGGGGCCTGGCCACTCCACACCCACTGCCCAGAGGCTCTCTGCGGCCCAGAGGCCCATCTGTGGCCAGGCGTGGAACATTTGCCTTGTCGCTGGGGCAACGGCGCAAGCATTCCATGCCCCAGCCTGGCCAGAGGCCCATCCTCGGTGGGGTGTGGAACATCCCGCCCTCCCCCCCCACCCCCCCACCCTCCCCTTCCACCCCCACCCCGGCTGCTCTGTGCCTGCTGCCCAGAGGCCCTCCGTGGCCAGGGTGGAATGCTTGCCTCGTCGCTGTGGCAACAAAGCAAGCATTCCGCCAGGCCGCTCATGCTGCCCAGTCTTAGCGGCCGCCCCCTGGGACTGGGGGACTCTGGCGGGGCTGAGAGGATTGTGTGCCACCATCTTGTGGCTATGGGTGCTGCCATCTTTGTGATGGATAATGGTTAATTTGCATATTACCCTTTTATTAGATAGGATTCTGATTATGTTTGTGTGTGTTTGAAAATTTCCATAATAAAATTTAAAAAGAATAAGTTAACTCAATTGATCTTTAAAATGGATTGTAGAATATGGAAGGCTCTTCTGTGATTTTCCCAAAATTTAGGTCTTGTTATTTCCCAGTGGGGAGAGTTGAGTTTAGCAGAAAGGTGCATGGAGAACATGTCTTGGGCTACCTGAGACTTGTAAGGCAGACAGAGTGAGAGCAAGGGAAAGAGAGGAAGGGAGAGGAGATGAGGTGGGGAGGAGTGAGAAATAGAGTGGTGGAAATGGCTTCCAAGTCTATCTCTCTAAGCCAATTTCTGCTATATTTTCTGCCTCAGATCAAGTCACAGAAAAAGAATGTGCTCTCTGATGTCTGTTTACATATTCATGAGTGAGAAAGGGGGGAGACAAGAGTACCTAGAACAATAACCATTGCATGTCAGTTATTCAGTGATGGGAAGGCATAAATACCTTTTCCAACATCACTCTATCTTGGGGGTGGGGGGGGGGCGGTTGGAATGGAAGCCTCTTCCATTTATAGAAACATGAGGAGCGGGAGATTAAGTAATTTCCCCACCCCTACACTTACAACAAAACTGAGGTGGGTCTGTTTTTATCCCCTTTTTATGAATAAAGAAACTGAGTCTTTTAAATATATATATATATTTTATTGTTTTTTTTTACAGAGAGGAAGGGAGAGGGATAGAGAGTTAGAACCATTGATGAGAGAGAAACATCGATCAGCTGCCTCCTGCACACTCCCTACTGGGGATGTGTCTGCAACCAAAGTACATTCCCTTGACCGGAATCGAACCTGGGACCCTTTAGTCTGCAGGCCAGTGCTCTATCCACTGGGCCAAACTGGTTAGGGCAAGAAACTGAGTCTTAAAGAGGGCAATTAACTTTTCCAAATTTACACACTTGGAAACTGGCCAAGTTTGGTTCTTAACACATATACCTGACCCCAGAGTGTACATTCTTAAAAGAACATTATTCTATTACCTTGGAGGGAAAATGCATTGATAACCTGCTTTCTGCAGGGCACGTTGCTAGTCATTCAGGGACACACAGCTAAGTGAGTCATAATCCATGTCCTCTGTGAGCTCTCTACCTCGTTGGGGAATAGAAGAAAGGTCTGTCAGAGAAATATGCAAATAACTAATTTACTGGAGTAAAGTACAGTGACGTGTTAGTTATCTATTACTGATTAATAAGTAGCTCTAATGTATAGTGGCTTCAAACAACAAACACTCATCTCACACTTTCTGTGGGTCAGAAATTCAGGAGTGGCCTATCTTGGGGGTTCTAGCTTAGGGTATCTTGAAATCAAGATATTGGCAAGGACCACAATCATCTGAAGACTGGAGTGGGGCTGGAAGATCCACTTCCAAGAATATTCACTCATGTGGCTGTTGGCAGAGGGCCTCACTTCCCCACGGTCCATATCCTCATGACAGAGCCGTTGGCTTTCCTCAGAGCAACTAATTCAAGCGAAAGAGCCGGGAAGAAGCCACAGAGCCTTCCTAACCCAGGCTCAGGAATTGGACACCATCACTTCCACCCTGTTCTCTTCATTGGAAGCAAGTCGCTAAGCCCATTTCACACTCCGGGATAGCAAAGTTAAATTTCACTTCTTGAAGGCAAGAGTGTCATCTAATCTGTGGGTATACAGCACTTTAAAACCACCACATGGAGATGCAGGAAATGAAAATTAGGGGGGGAGATTTTCAAAGTGGAAGTGACACTTGAATGGGCAGAATTTTAAATGGTTTACATGAGGAGGGAGAGCTGAGAAATGCAGGGGGCGGCATGAACAGAGGCACAAGGGAGGAATATAGACTCTAGAGACAAAGCTTGGTTAGTTCTATCAGGACACACGTAGGCATGGAACTGAGATGTGTCTGGAAGGTGTGTTCATAATTATAGAGGTCCTGGGATGCCAGATTGTTTTTAATTCTGTAGGTGATGGGGATTCTTAGAAACTTTTGAGTGGAAAGGTGATGCAATCACAATTTTGCACTAGAATGATTACTCAGATGCTGAATTTGAGGTGGATTGGAATAGACTAGAAATAGAGGAGAAGACACAAATGGGCAGATTCTTTAAGTTGATGTCAAGGCTCTATTGGTGAGGGTCCAGTTGGGAAAACAGTAATCACACTAGGTATTTCAAACGGGGGATTTAATACAGGGGAGTTTTACAGTATGTTGGAAGGCTGAAAGAGCTATAAAGGGAAGCTAGGCTTGCAGGAAGGATTTTAACTCTGCCTGGCGATTTCCCCTACATCATGTGACTCACACAAAAGTTCTAAACCAATGGGGGTGGCAGTGAGACTACATGGTGGTAAGAGGTCACATTAAGTGCTAATGGATCTGGGAACGAATAGACATAAAAGTGAACACTTAACTTCGTTTCCATGATGAGTAAGGCACTGTTCTATATCCTCCTAACAACTGTATGAGGAAGACACTATTATTATGCCATTTGACAGACTGGGAAACCGAGTTATCAAGTAATTCATCCAAGATTACACTTACGAGCTGTCTGGGCTGGGATTCAAACATAGGCACCTCGGGGCCAGAGCTCATGCTCATTACCACTGCACATGCTGTCTTTCTGAAGAATCAAAGAAGGCTCTGATTGGGAAATAGTGTTGTCAATGGTAGCAATAGGAGAGTTAAAAGGCAGACTTTGGGGGTGGAGCATGGAGGGGAGAGGGGTTTAATGGGTTGGATTATAGACACTATCAAGTCAATAGTGGGGACCATTTAATCATCTCTTCCTAGTTTTACTTCCCCCATGCAATCTGAGACCCAGTGGGAAGGCCTTTAAATGAACCCACTTAGTCATCCCCAGTTAACCCAAGGGAGGTTGGGAAAATAAATGTAGCTAAACAAGTGCCATTAAGCTTACTTATTCCACCTGATTTTAGGCAGGTTCTCAGTCTCAGCTTTAAGATGGATGAAATTTCCAGCATGGAATGAAGAGTAAGGATGGTTTCTGAGAGTGAGGCAGGGCAGGAAAACAACGACTTTCCAACTCTGTCTATGGCATGTTCCCAAGAGTGTCAGTGATAGAAAATGGAATGGAAACTGCAGAAAAAGAAGGGAGCTGTAGACATAAATATAGCTTCTTCGTTCTATGTTAAAATATCCCTCCTTTCATGAAGTAGACAACATACTACTTACAATGGCTTTCTGCAGGCATTGCCATTAGATGGCTGAGTTCTTAATTTATTTTTCTTTTCTTTTCCTTGCAAGTCCCATGTGTCTGATTGTATCAGAGATTGTAGTTTAGGATAAGATTTCTGTGAGCTGTTTCATTGATTCTTGAATAAACCTGAAGAAATAGACTTATTTCTAAAATCCTAACATTATAGTTTTGTTTTGTTTTTTTGGAATAAAAATGGGGTAAAGGTCAGGGGAGCTTTAATGTTGACTGGCAGTTCTTTTTTTTCACTACCTTCCTATCTTGGCTACAAAGCTGTAAGAACATTAGCCTTTGACTTTAGTTAAACTTTCATGATGCCCCTTCATTGATTGTCCCCGCTTCTCCTTACACATATTTCTTCTTCAGGAGTGCAGTAGTTGCTGCATGGAAGAGTATTAAGAGTGATGAAGATTTGGGGTTGAAATTAGGATCAAACAGAAGGAACATGGAAATTTATTGGGTGGCGAATGGGGCTTATTTGGTCAGAGGGATGTTAGTCTGTTATATCACATTTCCTTTGCCAGCTTTACTGGTGTCCCAGATTGTTTCTGTGGATTTGGTAACCTAGCAATGGGGGTTTGGGGCATGGAGAGATTAATGAGACAAGATGGTTTTAAGATCTTCTTCCTGATTTAGTGATCACATGACTAGAATGAGGGTGGTGTAGCTCTTCATCTAAAATAGAAGATATTGAATGGATGTCTGTGTATTAAATATATGGCACATGCATTGCTGCTACTATTCCCTTAGGTGCCAGTCAGTGAAAGCCGATTGTTAAATATTTAGGAACTCTGTGAACTGTTTATTAAACTTTTGGTAGCTTGAAATTGATTATGGTGGGAGTTTTTATACCACACAAACTGGCAAACAATGCAAAGGAGGGCTCTTTTCTTTCTTTCAAAGAGACAATTATCAGGATACCACTGTGAATGCCATACTCCAGACAGACATCACTGCTAATCAAAAAAGTTGCTCTTTTCTGTTCAGCCCAGATTTGGATTCAGAATCCTTCTCAACACACACTGCTTCTGACAGAACACACAAGTAAATAGGACTGAGTGCATGAGATGAGCAGTATTTGCCATCTTTGCAAACAACCTTTTGTAATTGTCCCTGGTATTAGCTGTTAGAATCTTATACTGGGGAAGGTTGCTTTGGGTTTGACGCTTTTGCTGCTTTTAATGATTTTTGACACAAAAAAGTCAAAGCATCTTTCATAAAGAAGCCACAATAATACCTAACTCTAGGTTGCCCTGGATTAAAGCATAATCAGAAATAGGTACTCAGCAACATCATTAATTTTCTTCCTGTTTTTTTTTTTATGTGTATGTATCATACAAAGACCCTAATCATGCATTTGGATGTTCATTAATTAATGAACTAAGTGAACATTTACTGAGTCTCTTTGTTATTAGTCACATATTCCCTTACAAAGGGTTATATGGAGAAGTCAGTTTAAAGCAGGAATAATCATATATCACTGTTCAGGACTTTTGTGGGTCAGGAAACCAAAGAGGCGGGGATGGGTGCTTCTGATTTACGTTACCACAGAAGTCATGTAGTATCACTTCCATGTCATGAGGTTGAACTCATGGCAGCTGTTTGAAGGCTTCACCGTGGCTGAAGGATCTCTAAGGTTGCTTACCCACGTGCCTGGCAAGTTAGTGCTGGCCAGATGGTTCCTTTCCACAAGGACCCCTCTACGGGATTGCTGGGGTGTCGTTGGTCATAGTGTTGGCTTCCCCCTGATCAATAAGTGTAATGGTAGGTGCCAGGGAATATTGAGTTCTTCATGTTGGGAAGTGAGGCAGTAGAGTAAAGAGGACTTTGCACTGTCTCTGTTCACTGCTCCCACAGGGCTTTTGGCCCAGGTATTGCTCTCTTCATTTAAGGCTCTGATGAAGGGGAACCTCTTTGGAAAGGTCATTCCTCATGAACACCCATCACCTTCTTTTTCCTATTTAGCTTCATAACATTTATCACTGTATAATAGAATATTACATATTTATTTTTTGTCTATTATCTTTCTCTCTCATTAGAATAAAAACTTCCTCAGAGTTTTTCCTAGTGCTTGGAACGGTGCCTGGATATTAATGCTGTGTGTGAAAAGATGAATGGGGAAGAGTACTGACTCTATAGTGAGATTTGGACCTGGATTCGGGCTCTGCTATTTATTAGATCAAATTATTTAATTTCTGCACACTTCAATGTTGTCAGCCAAAAGACAGAGTTAAAAATACAAACCTCTTGAAGTTATTGTGATTTTTAAATGACATAATGTATGTAATACCTAGCATTGTGTGTGCTTGCACATAGCAAGAATCTATGAAATGTTAGCTATTGCTATAACTGTTGTTATTACTATGATGATGTACTGAAGCTATATATACCTATATAAACTATGTATGCACTGTAGATATAGCATGATGATATAGAGAGTGAAGGGCCATTGGGCAGACAGCGAAGTCATTGGTATGGATCAGTGATTGGGCTAATCAGAGCCTTCCTTATGCTAAGCTCCTATGATATCTCACCTCTTAGTTCTGTTTTCTTTCTTCCTTTCTTGAAGGTCTTGAACAGACTCAAGAGTAAATATGGCTCCCTGTACAGAAGAGACAATGTGATCCTGAGTGGCACTCACACGCACTCAGCTCCAGCAGGATATTTCCAGTACACCGTGTTTGTGATTGCCAGCGAAGGATTCAGCAATCGAACTTTTAATTACATGGTCACTGGCATCATGAAGGTAGGCAGCTGTTCTTTCCCACTGCTCAGTGTCTTAGGAGTGTGCTATGGAGAAGGTCCCTATAGAGTCTTCGTCTGAGCACAGTCCCCCCTTCCCTCTTCATGACCCACTGGTAACCCTGGTCCTGAGCTGTGGGCTGGTAGCCTGAGGCACTTACTGGGAGAGGAGGACTCTGTGGCAGTAACTTCACGCAGTCACCACAGAAAACAATTTGTATGTGACCCTTACAAATAATAGGGCCCCCCATGGTCTGTTCTTGCACAAAGTCACACAAAAAGACACCAACCCATCAAGGAACCAACATTACAAATAATTCCAATCTTTCCTTGTGTTTCCAAACATTTCCTTGTATTTCTCGAAGAGCCCAAAAGGAGATCTAATTGGTAAATTTCTCAAGTCCTCTACACCAGCTTTAGACGGACATGGTGCTCCTACCATACCCCCAACTTTTCTCCCACTCATGGTTTGGGTACATTTTGGTACTCCTCTCTCTCCTGTCTTCCAGTTTATTATTTCATTGCACAGGATCCTTGATAATGTTTTCTTCTTCATTCCTTTGCCTTTCAGGCTTCGTCTCTCTCTATTTTATCTTGTAAAGTCACCCCTCCATACCCGCAAATCCAGGGACCCAGTTGGCAAAAGCAGGCATTTCTTTGCAACACTGTTTTTCAAACGGTGGCTAGCAACCGATAAATGGTTTTATGAAATCAATTTCATGGGTTGCAATAAACATAAAAAATAAAACAAATTAAAAAATTGGAAAACACCATAGTGCATCATACACATTGTGAGCTTTATTTTAGAATATATATGCTGATACGTATTAAGTTATGATGGGAACTGTATTGCTTACTGTGCTTCTCAAAGTTTGAAAAACTGTCTGAGAAGGTGGTGGGCTAGGGAGGGTGGGGAGGGTGGAAATACCTACATGTTGTAGGAGTTGAGTCTCCCATTTGGGCCATCTGAACTGGCAGACGTGCTGACTCACCAGCCGGTGCTGATGGGCACTGCGCTTCTCCACACGGAGCACTCTTTCTCTCTCAACCCTGAAGGCCAGTCTGTTTCCTTCCAAAGGACACCAGCCGTGTGGCTCTCCAGCTTTCATCTGTAGTGGGAACAGGTTGGAGACCAAGGAAACAATCCACAGGTCTCTTCTGTTTACATTGACGAAATCATTATCCCCAATAGGATTTCTAACTTGACAACTCTCTTTTTTTCAAAACCCACAGAGCATTGAGATAGCACACAAAAATATGAAACCAGGAAAGATCTTTATGAATAAAGGAAATGTGGATGGCACACAGATCAACCGAAGCCCCTATTCTTACCTTCAAAATCCACTGGCAGAGAGATTAAGGTGAGGAGGGTGATTATCACAGGGAGATCATGTGTTTCCTTTAGGAGGAGAGACGGAGTCTAAAACAGGGTTGTTTACTTGACGAATATGATGGGACCCTCAGAAAGTATCAGAGCTAAAATAATTTAAAAACATGTTGATAATCTAAGACAAGCAGAAATAAAAAGTAAACATAGAAAACATACAGCAACCTGTCCTCCTGCTTTGAGGGCTGTGAGACTCAGTGTGAATATTTGAAGGACTCCTGCCTGTGGGATCTGACATAACTGTGGTTTCATCTTAGCTTTGTCACTCCTAGCTGTGTGACCTTTAGGATATATGGCGATGATGATAGGTGATTTACTTATCTTTATTTATTGGCTCACAGTTTCTTCGTTTGTTAAATGGAGATAAAAATGTGCATAACAAGTATTTGTTCAATTAATGAGTAGCTCTTTTTATTATGTTATTCAGAAGAAATCATCTTAGTCCAAGAGACTGTGGCAAGAGAAAGGAGATAACTGAGTAAAAATACTGAAAGAACAAGAAATAAAATGAGAATAATTGAATGGAACAATTAAGGGAGATGATTAGTTTTTTTAAGTGATGAGTCAGGTTTGCAACAAAGAGGGTACTTGGCTACTATGGCAATGTAAAATAACATCTCAGTCAATTTGACCACTTGACATCTTACATTTGTCTGCAATAGACAAAGAGTGAAAGGACCTAAAAACATTTTAAGTCACAGGTCCTGAATGCTTTTGATTTTGCCTATTTCCTGCTAATGGAATCTGAGCAGAAATTTCAAAGAGAAATCCTTTTTGAAAGAAATACATGTTATATAATAGTGCGTATATTACATAAACATGTATATTTCACCTCCAGCGAGCCAACCTATGGCCCTAGCTCCGGTCACAGTTGCAAGCCATTTCTTCAGCTAAGGACTGAGGTCCTAGGTGCAGGCCTCGGACTGCCGCCTGTCTGGGAGCCTTGCTTCCTAAGGGGCATGTTGGTTTTTGTCTCTGTGCCAGCTTCTGCTGTTTGTCAGACATGGTGCCCAGGTTCTAACATGACACTGACTACATTTCTTTGTCTTGGTGACTAGGTACTCTTCGAATACAGACAAGGAAATGCTAGTCTTGAAAATGGTAGATTTGAATGGAGACGACTTGGGCCTCATCAGGTAGTCTGTTTACTTTCTTTTTTTTTCTTTTCTGTGTGAGTAACTTTCCTCAATTACAAGGTTGGGGTGGGGAAGAGACTGGAATAGTGGAAGCAGTGGCCAAGAGTAAGCTGAATGGTTAAGAATTCAGACTCAGGAATCAGACACATCTGAGTTGTAGCTGTGGGCCCTGTGGCAAGGTTCTCAACCTCTCACCTGCCACAGGGGCTAATAAAAGATGATATAAATGGCGGATCTGGGCGAAGAAGTTCAGCACAGCATCTGGCATTTGACATAAAGACTCAGCAAATGTGAGTGCTTATGACTATATCAAGATCTTATATGGGGACATCTGTAATACTGTCAACAATAAAAAATATATTTAAATAAAAAAATAAAAGATCTTATATGTGAAACTTCTATGATGGTAGACAATTAACTCTTCGTAAATGAAAAAAACAATCTGACCAACTAGGAAAATGAATATGGATTTGAGGTTATTTACCTGTTTTCCTGAAAGGATCAAGGGAAGTCTAGTGTAGGACAATGCTAATTAGTGATGAAAGCAGAACTGAGACCACCTAAAGCAGTGGTTCTCAACCTTGGCTGCACATTAGAATCACCTGGGAATCTTTTTAAAATCCTGATTTCTGGGCCTCATCCTCCGGAAATTCTGTTTCTTTGTTATGGGGTGGGGCCACAACATTAGTAACAAAGAAACAGAATTTCCAGAGGATGAGGCCCAGAAATCAGGATTTTAAAAAGATTCCCAGGTGATTCTAATGTGCAGCCAAGGTTGAGAACCACTGACCTAAAGGAAGCAGGTGATGTGAAAGTACAGCTTGGCACGGATTGATTTTAGCACCTTTTTTATAAACAAGGAAATATGGGGATTTTTTCTTGAAAAATAAGGTACTTACATTCATAGGTGATTTTGCTCACAGCCATTGGACTGACTCAGGCTGGGTAACAGTCCAGACACCTTGACGCGTAGACTTCCAAATGACGCGGAAATGCCCTAAGAAAGTGTATGCTTGCACTCGGGTTCGCTCTGGGCTCTCATCCCTCTTAGCTCTGTTATTTAGGCCAAGTGATGTGACTGCTCTGTGTCTCAGTTTTTTATGTGTAAAATTGAGGAGTAAAGGAAGTCCTTAAAAATGTTGATAATAAGTGTTAGTAAAGGTGGTGAGGTTCTGCCAGGTAGAATTATGAAATATTTAAGTGAAAGGTTCTATGTGAGTAAAATGAACAGTAAATTAAAAGTAAGAAGGGGTGAAGATAAACATTAAAGACTATGACCCACAGTCATAGTTGGTAGAGAATAGCATGGTAAAGAGTTCAGGTTTTAGGTGTAGGCTTTAAGACTTGGGTTCAAATCCCCACCCTGCCACTTATTAACCCTATGGCCTGGGGAAAGTAACTCCATTACTTACACCTCAACTATTCTATTTGAAAATGGGAATAATAATAACTCACAGGTTGTGTGACGATTAAATGAGATAATGCACACAAAGCTCTAGTTTTGTGCCTGACACAGACAAAAGTTCAATAATCTTAGCTAATAGGTAAGAAATAGAATAATATTCTACCTCTTCTAAAAACTCCATTATTGGCATATCAGAGTGCTTAGAATTCTTAGCATTGGAGTTATTTCTTTGGGTTTAAAGTGAGGACACTAAAAACTCCCTGATAAGATAAACTTTATTATATGGGTTGACGTAATAGGACTCATCTCTTATAATAAATTTATCTACTGATTAGTTGCTACCTAGCATTTAACTCAATAGACTTTCTAAATGTCAGGTATACTTGGCATATGTGATGATGAATAAGTCATAGTCCCCATCTTCAAGGGTCTTGTAGGCTAGTTGGGTGATTGTGACCTGAAGCAGAAATAACCTCCCATTGTTTTTATAACCGTTTTTGTTATCCTTGATGTAATCGCTCCTCCAGTTGCCTCTTGTTGAATAGTCAAAGTTGCTCTTTGAACACATTGAAAATGATCCAGAAGAGAGTCAAATCTGGGTGCCAAGGAACTCAGCCAGCACATGTAGGTGCCTGATGTTAGAATCCGAAGTATGAGAAATTTGGAAGCATAGAACCTCAGGTTTTCAGAAAACAGAGGTAATCTAGTTCAAAATTCAGCCCTAGAAAGGTGACATGGCCTGCCCAGTGCCACAGCCGAGACTCTTCTTCATACTGAAAACAATGTTGAAGTTCATCATTTATTCCTTGATACTTTCATTTTTGTTTCTATTTCTTTGTTCAACAAGTTTGCCCTAGGCACCTGCTGTGTGCCATGCAACACTTCCCAGTCCTTGGAATAATGCATTTCCTGGTCTTGAAATCAGAAATCAGATACCTCAGAATCACCTTGGAATCAAATACCTGTATTCTGTGCCCTTTGAGCAAATCCCCTAAACTTTGTGAGACTCAGTTTCTACACTTATCAAATGTAGATTTAGCATCTTCCTTCTACGTAGAGACTATTCATGTATTCATTCAATATTGTGGAATATATGTGTCATTAGCTGAGCTTCTATTATAGATACACTGATGAGCAAAAATTGATATAGTTGCTACCTTTACAGGACTTACAGTCCACTGGTAGAGACAAAAGGTATTCAAATAGTCATACAAATACATATATAATGATAATTGGGTTAAGTGCTAAGAAAGGAAGGCTTGTAGAGCTACCTTAAAGAGATTTGACATGGTCAGGGAGACTGGGAAAGGCGTCCCTGAGGAAGTGACGATAGAGCTGAAAACTGAAGGAAGGGGAGGAATTAACCAGCAAAATGGGGAGTGGAAAAGGACTTTTAACACAGATGGACAAGCATGTGCAAAAGTCCTTTTTGAGGCCCATTTGAGGAACTGATAAAAGGTCTGCGTGGCTAAAGTGCAAAGGATATTGTGAGATAAAGTTAGAGGTAGAGATTAGATACCAGGATAAAGATTTTGGTCTTTATAATCGAGGAGAATGGAAAATCATTAAAGTGTTTAAGCTGGGGTTGGGAGTTGAGAGGTCTTGAAGGGTTAGGAAGAGTGATGATGGCTTGAAGAAAGAAATAGGATTATGTGCATGAAACTATTTTATACTGTTAAGTCCTCTACAAATACTAGACCACTATTTGCTCTAATTGATCTAAAGGAAATATTTTTGCCTGATACTACCTTATGCAAAAACAGTCAATGATTGTTCTCCAGCTGTGGAGAACATGTTTGGAATCTTTTGAATTCTGAGTTAAAAGGTGAGCTGTGTGGCATTTATAAAATTCACTTTGAGAGCTTTTGGCATGACATGGCTTCTCTTTGTCAGAACTGTAAGGAAGGTCTGAGTAGGTGTTTGAGTAATTGCTCCATTGCCTTCTGCTTTATGCACTGAAACTCCTCTCATTCTTACAGAAAGGGTCATTTAAAGGGGCCCTTTAAAGGCACATTTTAAAAAACAACAGGGACAGTGATTTATGTAACCTACTTGAATAATTTTTGTACCCCCTTAGAAAAATCCAATTTATGAAATTACACTAATTTGTTTGAATGAGAGTGGCTTACAGACCTCAGTCATGGTGTGTGTGTGTGTGTGTGTGTGTGTGTGTGTGTGTGTGTGTGTGTAAATCTTATCTACCGTCCAAGACTATGACTTCTCAAATTATAATGTCCCACTATCTATTCCCGATGGCTCTCTATTCTACCCTTATTTTCCTCAGCCTACTAAATCCCGCTCAGAGAGCAAATGGAGAAACCTCAGTGACTGCCTTTCACTAACCATTCTTGACCTCTTCTCTTTTCACCATCTCATCTTGTCTTTAAACCTCCCCATTACCATTAACTAGTTTGTGAATCGCTGGTCTCTAGTCACATCATTCACTGAATTTCTCTTTCCTGTTCTGCCCCTTCTCTGCTGTTGTGAAATTTGCTGCTGTCTTCCTGCTCCACCTTTTTTATCAGTCCGTCTGTCTTGTTCTCTCCAGGAGAGCATACATAGGCCCTGGCTGTGAGATTTCATTCGATGTCTGAGCTATCAACCTACAAAGTAAGGTGCTTAGTAAGGGCTCATTGATAACAAGAGCTGACTGATAACAGGTAAATCATGCTTGTTAATTAGTCCCAAGTTAAGAAACCAGAGCCATAAAAACCAGTTGTCATAACTAGTAAAAGACGCTGGACTTACTTGATAGTTGGATTTCTGGAAAATTCTTAATCCAAAGAGATTTAGAAAGTTGTTATTTTTTTCCAAGTTTTTCCACCAGTATAAAAATAATATGTACTCAGCAGTGAAAACTTGAAAAATATAGGAAAGTGAAAGAAAAATTAACTCAGTTACCCTTCAGCAAGTCAACCATAGTTAATATTCAGGTACATTTTCTTCTGCCCTGTCCCTACATGGAACATATTATAAGGAGTCAGCACGACTGAAAGGTCAATGTGTACATGTGGATGCTTACTTGGTATCTCTCATTCTGGGCACTAGAAGCTTTAAAATACTGTGAAAAATATTAATGATATTATCTCCGTGTACTGAGACTATCAAGTGGGTTTTTTTTTTTTGTAGTGACTCTATGTATATAAATGAGTTTTTTGGTCTCAAAGTCTGTGTACTCTTAAGTTAATATAGCTAACTCATTTCTCTCTGCAGGTTAGAATTTTCCATGTATATTTTGCAGTTATTTTCTTCTTACATTTTAGAGGTGTCTTATAAATATCATATACTTTTTTTTTTACTCTCTCTTTGCCTTTTAATGAGTGAGTTTGATCTCAGGAATTATGATTATTATATATCTGGATTACTTTCTGTATCTTTCACTTCGTGCCATTTGCCTCACTTTTTCAATGCTTTTCCCCTTAACCTCCTACCTTTTTAGGATTGATAGGGCTTTTCAAAAAAAAGTTTTAAATGGCAGATTGTGGTTTCCAAAGATGGTCACAATGACTGTCATCTCATATCCTATATAATAAAAGGGTAATATGCAAATCAACTGAACAGCAGAATAATTGGTCGCTATGACATGCACTGACCA